TTAAGGATTCAGGGATTTAGGGTTTAGGGATTTAGTGTTGAGGAATTTAGGGTTTAGGGATTTTGGGTACAGCGATTTTGGGTTTAGTGTTTTCAGGGATTTTGGGTTTAGTGTTTTAAGGGATTGTGGGTTTAGGGTTTAGGGATTTAGAGTTCAGGGTTTAGGGTTTAAGGGTTAGGGATTAGGGATTAGGGATTCAGGGTTTAGGGTTTAGGGATTTAGGGATTGAGGGATTTAGGGTTTAGGGATTTAGGGTTCAGGGATTTTGGGTTTAGGGTTTAAGGATTAGGGTTTAGGGATCTGGGGCTTAGGGATTTAGAGTTTAGGCCTTAGGGGGACTAGGGTTTCGGGGATTGGGGTTTAGGGTTGAGGGTTTAGAGCTTATACTAATTAGGGTTCCCAAAATCAGTGGTCCGTTTAAAGGGCTTTATTTGCTGGGAGGTTCAGGGATTCAGGGCGTAGCTCTGGGATTCAGTTTTGTTCGGATGCAGAATTGAGGCGTGGGAAGCTTGGGAGGCCTGGGTTTCCTAAAGGTTTAGGGGTTTCCGGGTGTAGGGGTACTTAGGGGTTTAGGGGTTTAGGGTCTTCGGGATTTCGGGGTTTGGGGGTTTAGGGGTTCGGGTTTCGGGTTTAGGGCTCATAACTACCAAGTCCCACTTGAGTTGAAGGCAAACTACAAGATCATCTAGAGTTCGAGGCTTGCGGTTTATGAATTCAGGACTTAGGGTTAAGGAATGAGGCTTTGGGGGCGTGGGTTTAGGTTTGTGGTGGCATGAAGGAGTGGCCACGACAGTATCACGTGCTGGTTGGGACTCAGGGTTTAGCATGTAGGTTTTGTGGTCCATTCTGCTATGCCTAGCAGCAAATGTGTTCAGCCTTTGACCTTCGGGCCTGGGTTTAGATTTTAGGGCTTAGGTTTGGCCTGGTGTGAAACGTGTTTTATTCCACACCCACGCGCTGGGATCCTTGCCATGTGGATCCCCGTACTTGAGCCTGGCATCTGAATGCTGACGCATGTATACTCCCTACAGAAATCCTTTAGTCCTTTAGGCCGCTACATTACACACCCAAGCCCTTTCCCCCCTCCCAGGGCCTGCCAAGGTACTCCTGCACCGTTCTCCATCCTGAAAGTGACTGGGTCGTTCGTTTTGACGGATGGACAATAGGGAATAGACTTCCTAAAGGGGGAGATCGTAATCGAAAAGGGAACCTACGTTATGGTCTTTTTGAGGGGGACAGGTGTTTGAACAACCACCATATGGATTCAGACTTTAAGGTTTAGAGTTTGAGGTTTGGGGTGATGTACAGGATTTACATGAGGGCTGTTTGTGGAGTAGGCAGGATAACCGGGGCGCGGAGGTTATAGAGGGACATGACTTAAGCGGTAAAGATCATCTGAGTGTTGTTTGCTTCGGTCCTTTTGAGGCTTCATATTCAACATTCACGGTTCTAACGACAGGTTTACGAAAGGTTCTTGATTGCAGTTTCATACTAGGTACATGGTCACTCATTTTGGCAAGCCGCCCGCCGTCCCATAAGACCACACAAGAAGGCATAAGAGCCCTCACAACCTCAACCTTCACCACCGCAAATCCGAACCCTTTGGTCTCTCCTTGATCGAGAAATCCTAAACACTACTCCTAAGTCCCAAACCCGGAACCATCGTTTGGGCCAAGCTGCGCGACAGCCAACAATGACAGTGGCATTGGCAAGTGCCAGCCTCTGCAACGAGCATGGATGCGTGAGAACACGGTGATGCTGACGCGGGTGTAGGGGAGAGCGGTTTCAGCCAGGGGTGTAGGGGTCTAGGAATTCTGGTGCCCTTGCGAGATCCCTACATAACCCTTAGAAACCTCGCGGAAGAGAGCAGTACTTTTGAGGAAGCGCTGCTCCCAAATCCAAGTTGACCCAACAGGCCAATCCCTAAAACCCCTCACCTCAACCCCTCCCTCAATCCCCAAACCCGAAACCCCCCCCGCGCAATCCAAAGACCGCGAATCCTCAAACCCGACCTGGACCCTCGGAAACCATAAAGTACTTGGCACAAAGTTGGGCTCCCCTGAACCCCAAGTCCTAGACCCTATACCCCGAAGCCCAAACACTACACCAAAGAGCCCTACCCTACACCGGCCTAAGCCCTATACCCTAAACCCTGCACAAAGGCAAACTGAGTTCGTGGCTGCCGCGCCGTTTCAAAACCCAGACCCGAGCTTGCACCGGTGATGAAAGCCACCTGTGACAGTAGATAGGGTTTAGGGTTTACACGTGAGGGCTTGGGGTTCTGGGTTGGGGGTTTGGGGCATAGAGTTTTGGAGGGGATTTAGGTTTGAGGGTTTAAGGGGTTTAATGGCTTATGGTTCAGCAGTTCAACTTTTGGGGTGGAGGAGTTCAAAGTCAAGGGGGTTCAGGCTGAAGGGTCTAGGATTAGGGGTTAACCTGCGTGAGTTTCGTGAAAATGACGAGCACTACCGTAGAGACCAACGAAATCACACCATACACCACAAGGGAGCTACTATGGAACTATCCTGATTGGGTATCCTGATACCCCTGATGTGTGATCATTATCTCAATGTGCGTTTGGGTGGCTTCGACATAGAACCCTGAACGCTACATGCAATCGTGTGTTCTTGTCACTTCTATCCTGAATTAAGTCCGATGCTCATCATTCAGGCCCCGACAGTAGCAGACACCTGTGGGTGTACTCTACTACACCCATAACTTTGTAACAATGTCTATGGGCTGAAATTGTTCGTTCTTCAGGCTTCTACAGCACTGCCATGTCAATGTGGAACCTACATCATCGCCAATATCATGTTGAGGTTTACTCCAGATACCCCATACCATAATGCAATGCCGGCACCCTCGTCATTAAACCCTACCCAAACCCAAAACCTTAAATCCTAAACCCTAAGAAGCCCCTGTAGTACCCCCACTGTAGCTGCCTTTCCCTGCAAGTCTGGCATGGCATCCAGGCTGAAGCCCCGGGGTCGCCAAAAGTTGAAAAGCGGAATGCTCCTCTCCAAGGGAAGCACAAAGGAAGATGTTAGGTGGTCCCCCGCACCCAGTCAAAGTATGATGAGGGATAATTGTGATGATATTCGGGTGGTTTATATTCCTGTCATTTCACGACTACAGGGCGGGGAGTCCAACTAAGGAAGATGGAAGGTACTGTAGCATTTAGTGTAGTGGTGTTAGGGTAGGGGTTACTTAGAGGTATTTCAATAATGAAGGATCCATTGGAAAATAACATGGACATGTAAAGGAAAGCTTGGGTTCTACAGGGGTATGTATCAGGATTGAAGACATAACCAAAAAATGATCACCCTAAACCCTAAACCCTAAACCCTAATAATGATACAGCGCTCCTGTAAGCCTAGTAGCCTAGCCGTAGACTGTAGGTTTAGGTTTGCGGAGCTGCGTGGGGATGTGCAAGATTCCTCAAATTCGGTTACTAGTGTTGTAGCATAATCCTTCTGTAGATACCCCAACAAACACCCCTTGAGTTTTGAAAACCACCGTCTCTCAATTTAATACGATCTAGTCATTTCTCCAAGTGAGGGTTCTTAAAACTTCCGGTCCTTCTACAACCCAAAAGCATGAACCCTAAACCCTAAACCCTAAACCCTAACCCTGAACCCTGAACCCTGAACCCTTACTGTAGGAACCTCGAGACAGGAGGTCCTTCCGCCATTCCACAGCAGGTCTCCGCGCAGAATCACAGCTGCCAGCAGCACAAGCCCCGCAGTGCACACGTGTGTCCATGATATCCGGCTCATGTGGTTTAGGGTTTAGGGTTTAGGGTTTAGGGTTTCATCCCTGTAGAGACTGACAGGGAAAGGATCACAGGGGCTATGGGAACTATATGAAAGGGTTCTACAAGAAGTCCTGTATAGGTAGCTGCTGTTTCAACACAGGGGTACCATGAGAATTCAAACTCGTTTTGATGGCTCAAACACCACAATCCTTACTGTAGGCTCTCAAAAAATCATCCCAGAGCAGCACACATATCTTAGAGAATGACTGCGCAGACAGTGCTAGTGTAGAGTTGTTTTTCTGCTGCATGTTGGCAGATTGGGCTACGGCAGCGGCGGGCAAAAAATGTGCCCCAGCATGTTTTTTCAGTTTCCAAATCCCCACATCTGACAACCTTCAACGAAGGTGCGAAAAAATCATAACAGTTCCTGTGGGGGTTGAAACAACCCCTATGGAATACTTACAACGAACCATGAGGGGAATCTAAGGGCCTGAATCATAAGCATTGGATTGGACAGATATATCTTTAGAACTGGGTGGTGCCAAGAACGCCTCCGATAGCTATCCCCACGTGTTGTCTTCATTGCTACCATTAGCACTATTCCTATGGAAGCCTCCTATATATTTCCCAAAGCACTCCTGCAATGCCTGTACCAAAAACACTGAATAATCAACAAGATCTGTATATGGGGGTCTCAACAAAGGGGGAACCCCAATCAAGATCCCCCAACAAATAGATTTCACATTTATGTGTCCCCCAACAAGAAGCCCCAACCTTTCGCAACCACTGTATGACCTCCAAAAAGGAAACCTTAGCATTCACCCTGCCCTTACGAGGCCGATGCAGCAGCAGCATCAGCACCATTGGCACCATGCTCATCCGAATCCTGATCAAAGGGTTTAGTGGGTGGTCTGTTTGGGTCCTTCAAAAAAATCGATGAAGAGCCTGCTACAAAGCCATGCTATGTCTCTTCGGGATGGCCACAGCCTGAAATGCAGAGGGGCTTGAGGAAGAAACAAGTTGATTCAGGAAATTCTAAGGCTCACTAGCATGATTTAGCTTTAACTCATAAGCCCTGCGCGCTGAGCCACTAAACCCCAGGAAACTTGCCCCCGCCCGGAAGGTTCAATCAGAGCACCCATCCAGCGGGCAATCCCAGCGGGTAATCCAGCGGGTTTTGCGCTGACGTACATGTCGTGCTGGTTTAGAGTTTAGAGGGGCACGTCAGGGGCCAGAAATGCTACCAGACGTGTTCTTACGTTCCTTCTGTACAGAGGGCACAGTTCTTACACAGGAGGGTGTGCAAACTAGCGACAACTAGGGCAACTAGGGGTCCCGAGCTGACATCGTCCTTTTCGCGCAAAGCTCTCGAAAGGGACCCCTAGGCTTTGGAAACCCCACTCCGCGAGAATACTTGGTCTATGAACCTAAAACACCCCAAACCCATGAAATCCAAACCTGTGGGGCTCGGAAAGCTCTAGGTTCTTGAGTTTAGGGGTTAGGCTACCCTGACCCACCTTGAAATTCCCTCTTGAGCACGGCTGTCTAAGGATAACTGAGGTGCATTAAGTGTACCGCTTTTAGGTTTGGGAGCACTGAACCACAAACCCCAAACCCTAA